TTTAAGCCATACTTACCCGTACTAAAAAAAAAAAAAAAAAAAATATATATATATATATATATATACACATCATATATCTATGACATTCATGTGCAAAATAAGGCATAAATATATAAAAGGAAAAAATGTCTCGGCATTATGGCCGTTCAAAATGGCAAATTCAAATATCTCAGCCTTACAGCCTTACAAAAAAAAAAAAAAGAAAGAGAAAGGAATGCTCTCAAAACGTCGCCCCATCTCCCGGTGCCTACTCGGCTCCCCCAGCTCCTGGCACTGGCTCGACCTCCGTCTCCTCCACCTCCTTGTCGTCGGACTCATCGAGAAAAAATAAGTCGACCTCAGGGCGCTTTCTTCGGAAACGGTCGAGATTCTAATCCCCAGCTGACCTCATCAAGGACAATTGAAGATCCTCAAACTCAACGGAGGCTTTGTAAGCCTTAAGCCTCTGAGTGAGAAGGCCCTCAAAAGCAACCGAGGATTTGAACAGCTCCACCTGCTGGTCGACTAAATTCTTTAACTCTTGGGATGACTCAAAAGCCTCCAATTGAGCGTCGACCGATCGGCGAAACTCCTCGGAAGCCATAAATTCCTTGACCGTTTCTCTCTTCTTATGCTGGAAGTTGGGAGAGGAAAGTTATGCCTCTAGAAACTCTCGTTGGTCGCCTTGACAATCATCTCCTCAAGAGATTGGACCTTGGCCTTCTCGACCTACAAATCCGCGGAGAGTTCAGTCCGAGCAACGCGGAGAGCTGTAAGCTCCTCTGCAGAAGCCTTAGACGAGGTGTCCTGCTTCAGCAAAGTCTCGAGCTCTATATAATTCTGGAGTGTAACCTCAAGAGCCTGGACAAAAAAAAAACAAAAAAACAGAAGACGGGGAGCATGTTAAGGCATGAGGTCCAGATATTTACAGGTAAAGGTCGAGGGGTGAGTAGGCCAAACATACCGAGATTTGGCGCATCACAGCTATGCGCTGGCGCTCCAGAAGGCCCATCCCAGCAAACTTGTTCCAGGAGTCCTTATGGAAGTGCGTGTAGATGGCATGAATGGGAAGGCTGAAGCGAGGAGGGAGTCGGAGAGCCTCGTTGAGGTGGTGGTTGATCACATCACACATGACATTGGGGATCGTTAATCTTCAACCCCGGCATTACAAGGGGCTCCTCAGGCGCAAGAGGAACCTCCAAGTTAGCAGCTACATCGGCGCCTTTCCCCTTGTCTAGGCGCCGAGAGTCCTGAGATGACCCTTCGACCGCCGAAGGGCCTTGGCGCTCGTCTACCCTCTGTCTCTTGGGAGGGGGAATTATGACGATCCTCGACCGGTCGAGAACTTCTGGGACATCATGGGCAGGGGCGACTTGGGTCATCGGTTGACCCGACGACTTGGAGGAGGCTTCTCCCTTGTTCTTCGACTTGCTTGGGAGAACGGACCTCATGGTAGACGGCACGACTGCGAAATAAAAAAGGAATCAAACCCTAAATAGGTCGACTATAATGAATCAAAATTGCACTTCCAGGTTATCATTGAGGAGATCTACAGGTGGGACGAATGGTTGGCGCGGAGGGTCGAGTGACGATCAGACCGTACAACCGTCGGTTCTTTGATGTATTGAGAACGGTAGAGCTGCGGCTGGAGTTGGAAAGAGACAAGATTTGCTCGACCTGCGCTAGAGCGGCCGAAGAAAGCTTTAGTCGAGAAGGAATTTCACCTGCATTCAAGAGCGAAATATGAGAGATAGCTCAACAAACGGAAAAAATTCTATAAAATCCAACAAAGCGAAGACCTACAGTATTTGTTGAATACTGTTTGAGTTCCCATGGGACGCTCGCCGTCGAGCGGGTGGGAGTTAAAATTGCCACCAAGAAAAAAGAATGGGGCTTCCACCCATGGCAACTAGAAATCTTCTCGATAGCGACAGGGGAGACTGGAGGTTTGGATTTAGAGTGGGAGCATGAGTAAAAGAATCCCCTCTGACCTGGAGAACCCCCAAAGGCATAGCAATACAAAAATTCATCGACGGTTATGTCGAGGTTCAAAAATTTTCTCCACAAAATAATCATGGAGTTTATTGTCACTCAACAATTGGGTGACAATTGTGCAGGAGAAATCCTATGACGGCCACAGAAGGCCTTCACGAATGGGTGAAATGGAAGAGTTTGCCCAAAACTAAAGGATCTGGTATATACAGTCACATGGTTGACAGGGGGGTTGTGAACTCTATCGTTAGGGGTAGGAATAATTAAGTAAAAGTTATTGGCGTCGATCCTGCATCGCAAAACGCTTTCATGGCAACCCGAAGCTTTATTTTTGACGGATTGACGTCAGTCACCATGCCCAAGATGCCACTCGTCGACATCACCCCATAGCCATGACTTCAGAGGGGCCGACTCATAAACCGTCATCCTCATCGTCGAGGAGAATGAGCTCGTCTGGCTGAGGGGTCGAGACCGACCCCTCGGCGTATTCCTCTACTTGGCGGAGCAGAGAATCCCTGCAGTCGATTGATGCCGTGCTTGACGTCGCAGCTTCCTTAGAGTCGTCCCTGACCCTAGATGTGGAGACCTCTCGACCTCTAACCTGTTTTGGCAATATGTTCTGAAAATAAACAAAAAAGGGTCGAGTTAAGGCCTAATGATCGAGAGGTCAGAAACAGAGTTTGAGAAGAGACAGAAGTATATTCAGATCAAAATGATCCAAGAGTTTGGCATTGACAATACCAGACTCGTGTAAACCCAGAAATGAGGGAGAACTCATGTAAGGGTCCCCAAAGCCCAGAAATGAGTCTAAGGACCCCCAACAAGAGCAACTGAACCCAAGAGGGCGCCACCACAAGGATTCAACCCAGATTCATGATCAACAACATTGTAAGTATATTTTTATAGTTGTATTGTTCTCTTCAAAGTATTATTTTTTGCAAGAATTAGTTTCGGAATCACATACGAGGAGCAAAAGGACCAAAACAACTTACTAGTTCTTGAGACGGTCTGAAAGCTTGGAGACTGAGGAGAACAATGTGTGGAGAACGTGCATGGAAGTCGAAATCGGAGAAGGAAAGTTTTGGAGGAAATCCGGCAAAATAACAGCGTAGTTTGCAAATGAACGACCGTGAATTGTTCGAGGAGTATATATACTCGAAGAGTGGAAGCCCAGGGGTCTCAGGAAAATCCAAAGGACTTCAGATCTCCACCGTTGAATCCGAACCGACCCCATCCAACGATGAATCCGAAGACACACGATCTAACGGCTGGGAAAAGAGCGAGAGAGATGAATCTAATCCAACGGGTGCAACTTTCCCCACGACTGTCATGTGTCATCAGGGTACGCGAGACGTGACTGTTGACACGATCGACAAGACTGCTCTACTGCCCGAGAAACTCGTTGCAATGATGGCACTGTAACAACAAGCAGCCGCCATAACCTACAGGAGAAGAAATTGCCACGTAATACTCTCGACGCTGTATAGCCTTAAACATCGCAATGCGGTATTCCAGGCCGGGGGGTAATTGTTGCGCCACGGTCGAGCAATCGACCGTTCCTTTAACTACCAAGCGCCGAGACATTCTCAGTTGAAACTTGGTCGCTGACGTCGAAAAAATGGTCGTACGAAATATGCCCTCAAGACGACGAGAATTCATGTAGAAGGAGGATATGCGTCGAGAACTCTGCCTAAGCCGTGAAGTTCACAACGTCGAGAGAGCAGCTCGGTCAAATCTAAATCAAATCTTGTCATCTCAGTTAAAAATATACTGCAACAACTGCCACGATTCGGATTAGCAAATCAAATAACCGATAAAGGTGATTGTCCCGATTTAGTAGCTGAAATCATGGAAGTACAACTGCCAGATCCCAAGATTTAGGGGTAAGGAAATGATCTCCTCAGGAAGTGTAGAGGAGATCTTTAATCTGTAAAGGACCTATAAATAGAGCTTGCCTCCTTCATTAAGTTTTTTACACACCATTTTACTACAAAAAAGATTGTAATTGCAAAATACTAGTGCATCTACAAGTGGACGTAGGCAAAGAGTTCTTGTCAAACCACTATAAACTTTTGTGTTTTTTATTTTTCTGCAACGATAATTCTTGATTAATCCGTGAGAAACGTCTGCGAGTGTTCCCAGAGAGTTAATTTTTAATTGACTAAATTTAACCGTCAACACCTTGTAAAATCTGTACCCTTAGCTCAAAATTATACAAAATTGTTCAAAACATCCTCTTTGTCTATAATACTAACAAAATGATGATGTGGCACTGGTCATAATTTCATGAACGCTCCCGACCAAAATTGCCCTGATTCTTTCGGAGGGGTTTTGACTGATTTTATATAGTTCGCATTTATAAAATTTCATCATGAAATATGTGTGTGTATGTAGTATTAGCTCCGGCATTTCATCGAGGAATTTCCTCGAACTGTTTCAAGGCAAAAAAATTCACAACTCAAAACTTCAATAATCTACTTCTACAGTCACTGAGGAATTTCATCGAACAGTTTCAGGGGAAAAACTGTTTACAACTCAAAACTACACTAATCTACAGTCACTCATCAAAACAACTTCAAAGAACTTCACCACGCCATGGCATCCCAACCAAAATCAAACGCGGATCAATACTGTCATAGGAAGTTTCTGAAAAAAAAAAGAAAGAAAAAAAGAAAAAAAAACATTGAAAGCAAAGAAACAGAACCTGGCAACGAGCAACGACATCGAAGTGTTGGGCCAAGATATCGACGAGTTTGCCCTTCCCCTCGTCGCCCCACTGGCAACCCAACACGCCCGAGACCTGACTCAGAGACTCGATTCGACTCAGCCTCTGCGAAGCCGACTCGGCCACGCCGACGGTCGCCGCCGACGCCGGGGGTTTGACGGAGCAGACGACGACGTTTCGGATGCGGGGGAGGAAGTGGGCCCGGATAAAGTGGGACCTAGCAGTCCGAGGAGTGGAGAGAGGGTTTGAGTCGAGGGATGCGAGGGAAGAGAGGTTCATTGTATTGTTTGTTCGAAGCGCAGACAAACAGCGAAATGAAAGAAGAGAAAGGAAGAAAGAAAGGCCGGTTTTGTGGGGAGAGGGATGTTTTATTGAGTGAGGTGGATGATTGGGTTACCTGCTGGTGTCTTGGGGATGGTTTTTTTTTTTTTTTTTTTTTTTTGCTGGTCAAAATGAAATCAGGTGGATCATCTCACGTCACCATCTCTTTAGGGCTTAAACAATTCCAGGGACCACCGACGAGCGGAAAGAGCCAAAGGCTTATTTTAGTAGGCCCGTGAATTTTAAAAAATTATTTTTAGTTATGTTAAAAGAAGAAATAGTTGAATGTTTAATAAATTATAATTATAATAATTATATTAATTTTAAAATTAATGTAATAGTATTTGGTAATTTTAAAGTTGAATTATTGTAAATATGTAAAATGATTAAAATAGTATGAAACTTATATATAATTATTTTTGGTATTTATAAATACTTGTTTAACTTAAAAAAAAAACATAATGTTATGATTTTGAGTTTTTTAATAATAAATTTATGATAATTAATTCTTTTTTTTTTATTTCTTCATTCACAATATAATTACAACTAAAAGAAGCATTAGTGAATAATCAATTTGTTGAACAAAAATGTACATTCCGTGTTCAAAAACTGGTAAATGCATGAAAAGAATTAAGTCGTTTTCATTAAACTTACCGCAATTTGCTCTCATACTTCATCCATTTCTAGTGATAGTAAAGCTTAATTTTCTTTTACATTGTCCTTTGATTGATTCTCTTCATAAACGAAAACATCTGGATTATCCTCGACCCTTTGAAAATGTCGATCACGCTTATCATGCTTCCTAATGTAGTTATAGAGCGCAATTGTTGCAATAACTATTTTCACTTCCTTTGTAAATGAATAATTTTACATGTCTTTCAAAATTTTTCATTTTTTCTTTCAGACACCAAAAATGCGTTCAATGACATTTCGTCCAGACACTAATATTAGTAGAATTATTAGTAAGCAAATAAGAATTTTGAAACCTTTAAACTAAACCAACTTGGGGTTCAAAGATGGTCAAATAACAAAATATCCAATAAATAACAAAAAAGGACCAAAAAATAGGTTTCTACCAAAAAGATCCAGGAATAGCCTCACTTTAACTTCTCTTAAAAGCTTGATCTTCAAATAACCAAGTGACATAAACAAGTTAGGCTTTGATGCCTTGTATGTGGTCTTCGAGTTGTGGAATTGTTTTGTGCTCTCTCTCTTGCAAAGCTTGACATGGATAGTTGCAGTCTTGATAATCTGAATGCCTGGTAACCTAACTCTATAGCGAGAAGTCATTTCGTTGTACATCTGCTCCATGGCACCGTTAAGAGTGGTGTCACAGATCTCATCACTAAAATAAGACACTCTCAGATCTAGTAATTTGTACCACATTCTTCCAATACTCATCAATCAAACGTACAACTTCAAGTGGCACTTCAATCTGAAAAAGAAAATGTCAAAATTTAATAACAAAATCTCTCTCTTTCTCTCATGTGAAATAGGCAAATAGCAAACAAAAGCAAAAGCTTCCAATAAGGAAAAAACAAACCTGACTACAAACAGCTTTGGCATACTTCAAATCCTCTTCCCATAGACACTTCGACCAAAAGTTCTCGAAATCTTCCTACACAAAAAAACACACACATTGATTAATAAAATCAATTAATTAACTCAAAACTAATCAATAATTAACGTAACTGTTGCAAAAATTTGACTATGCTTGCAAGTGCATAAGTCGTATAAGTAATAAAGTGGTCCGAAGACTGATATCGTCCCACGAGGATTGACGTTAAGAACGTAAACTAACTATTGCGAATGTCATATCTTAATTTTATCTAAGCGATTAAATTTGAATGTGATAAACTCAAAGAAAAACTAAAATAAAAGAAAACTAAAATAAAAGAAAAGATAGCAGTAATGAATAACATGCGCTGAAATTAAAATAGGAAATCAATATGATGGCAATGTTAGGGTTTCAACTTCACTCTATTACGATTATGTTTCTCTGCAGTAATGTGCCTAACCTAACTCAATGTTCTCAAGAACCTAGAGTGATGTGTATCCTTATACCATCTCTCGAGTGCTGCATAAAGAATGTGCAGGTAATATCAAGCCTATATCTCTCTACAACTATTCACCCCTACCTTCATTAAGTTCCACTCTAGAAACAATTCCTGGAATTCCACTTCTCAATTTCACAACCTAAAATTGTTTCGGCTACCTAGGCAATGTTTATCTCTCGACCTCACACCAACCTAAGTTGTTCTACCCGTTTCTTGATTGCTTGAACGTTCCCCTCTCGAGTATTAATCCTCACAATCTAAATTTGCACAATTCACAATCTCACAAAGCATAGCAATATATAAATCATAGATTTGACAGCAACAATTCAAATTAGAACACGAAAGAAACGAAGAACTTTAATTAAATGCATATTAAAACGTCGAAACAATAATCACAAATAGAGATTCGTCTAAACCCTAACAATTAAGAAAATTAGCCACACATCATGTGACTCACAATCTCCAAATAATATTTGAAATCTAAAAAAATACAAAAAGAAAGAAAAGAAGAGAACGAAGAGCGCTTAGAATTATTGAAGAATCCCTCTAATTTCCCTCTGGAATCCTCTCCGATTCAGATTTTCTTCCTTTGCAATTTTTGTTTTCGTTTTTCTCCTCCTCCCTTCAGTTTTCGGCCCCTCTACCTTATATTCCACGTCCATCACGTCCCCAAGAAGCCAATTCTGACTTCCATAAAAATCTGCGCACTAGACTAGGGCAAAACGCGTGTTTCTAATAAAATCGGGTAACTCAGGCGACATATCCCTTAGAATAGGCGACATATCGCCTAAAGGCAGCAACATATCTCCACAAAGGAGGCGACATATCGCATCACTTGCTGGTCCTTCGTACAGGTTTGCTCAATTTTGATCCTTTTCGCGCCGTGTCGCCATCTGTAGGCGCCCAAAATGCCTCAAAACTCAGCGATTTCACCCATTCTTGCACACTCAAGGGAGAATCATCAAATTCACATAACAACTTAAGGAAAACACGCCGAAACTAGCTAAAGGAGTAACGAATGAGTGCATAAATTACGCACTCATCAATAACTCTCCTTACTTGGAACCAAATCTTGAGGTAAAAGGCGATGCAGGAGTGGCCGGCGGCGTGGAGGAGGCGCACAGCGACGCTGCTGTTGACGCCGCCGCTGAGAAGCACAGCAACTCTGAGTCTCGACCATAAAGATATCATGTGGGAAAAACATAACAACAAGATATTACCTGGCCACCAGTATCAGAGTCACGACGAAGCTCCATATTTTCACCCCTTATTAGACCATGAATGCCGCAAGGATACTTCTCGTTAAAAACAATAGAAAATCATTAGACACAACAAAGATCATTATTTATAGCTTATGAGAGATAGATATTCATTAGTTACCATCAGTCATGTTTAGTTCTCTTATGAAGTTCCCTTCGGCAGCTAGTTGAACCAAGTTTAGAGAATGATTAGAATGCTTCTATCAGATACAGAGACCATTATTGTGTCAAGTAATATTATACTAAAAATTTGCACTATTCATAATCATAATTAGTTTTCCAATTAATAATATAATGTTTTCCTTCATGAATCATGACCACATCTACAAATTAGGACAATGAAGTTTGGTTCATGCCTTATTAATACAGTATATAGCTTTTTCCCCTTTTGCTGACTAGCCCAAGTTTCCATAGCATCAGCGGAATTCATTCTTGGCAATCTGCCCCTAGTACTTTCACCATGACTTTATATGTCGCCCACCACATCTCCCTTCTCTCCCTCTGATAAGTCTTCAGACATATCAGCAGTAGCTTCCCGACAATATATACGAATCAAACTTAAACTATGCAAATCACCAATATTTTAAAAAATAATTAAAAGAAAACACCTGCTTCTTCTGGCGAGCCAAATTCCAAATCCTCCAGCACATATTCTCCAATCTGGTGTTCCTCTCCTGAGGACTCCTCGTCGCCGCTGCCTGGGGAATTACCCACAAACAACAAACGAAATTCTCATCGAGCAAAAACAGAAAAAGAAAAAATCAAAAGAGACAAAAGCGTAAAAAAACACACAGACCTTAACCCAGGAGCGATGGAGATCGGTCTCATCGAATCTGGTGACGACCTCCTCGACGAAGTAACGAGTAAGACTGAAATGGCCTCTCTCTCTCTCTCTCTCTCAGAAGCAGCGACGACTTCACATCGTCAAGACCTGGCCCTACGTCCAGAATCGCCTCTAGATAACTGTTTATCCAATCATTTCCGGCCATTTCTTTCTCTCTCTAAAACTCCGAGGTCAGAGAAAGTCCTACACTGAACTCCGCAACGCGTCTCTCTTTCTCTCTCTCTCTCTCTAACCGTTCATATAGAAATGAAGAGAGATAAACAATAGAAAGTTGAATTCAAAGCTCAAGTTTTGGAGTCTTGCCAATGGTTTTGGTTGCCGATACGCTGAGAACTCTGAAGTTTGGGAGGAAATAAATAAACAGAGAGAAAGAGGAGAAAGAGAGTTCTGGATATTGAGGGTAAAATTGGGAATAAAAAATTTCATTAAACTCTTAAAACCGATTCTCAAATCAGCCTTGCATAAACTGAAATTAGAATGGCTGATTCTGCTTTTAATTTCAAATTAAGAAAAAATTATTCAAAATTTTGTTTTACTAAAAATTTGTTTTACTAAACACCTTTTTAAACTTCAAATTAATAAGTATTTTTTCTATCCCAAAATTAATACTAAACCCACCCTAACTCGAATTGGGTTTAGGGGTGTTCATGGGTTGGGTTGGTGCGGGGTAGAATTTTTTTTCCCCCGCCCCAAAGGGTGCGGGTTGCACATATTTGGCCCCAACGATATTAGAAAAATTCCACAACCCAACGATGTTCGGGTTAGGTTGGGGCGGTGCGGGGTGGGTTGGGTGGTCGGTTTCAACATTCAAAAAATCAAAGACTTAAAGTTCAATATAATTTTCAAACTTCATCATTAAATCGAAATAGCAACCATCTTTATCAGTCCATCTAACATCAAACATAAAGCAAAATAGTCCATCCAACATCAAATACAAAACAAACATAACTTAGTCTACACTTATAAATTAGTCTTAAACATATAAAACAAATAGCTTAAGCAAAGCAAACATAGAGGCTGGACACTTAATTCAAATCCATCCAAAGCAAGCATTGCAACATCAACCATCTTTATCAATCCACACTCATAGGCTCCTCAATGGTTGTAGTAGGACATGAAGTTGAGTTATCTACAAGAGAAATGAAAATAGTTTAAGTAATAATTTAGATAGTTTATAGTTCATATAATAAAATAGATTAAGATACATACAAATTATTGTCTTACCTAGGTTTTCATAAGTCTCCAAGTCATCCAAATAGTCTCTTACTTGTATACAATCATGTGTAGATTTCAACCAATTTTGAGTACAAACAAGAGCCTCCACCATCTTAGGATTCAAAGAACTCCTAAATGGATCCAGAATGCGACCACTAGTACTGAAAGCTGACTCGGAAGCTACTGTGGAGACTTGGACAGCTAGTACATCACGGGCAATTTGAGCCAAAACCTTAAACTTCTTGCTATTATCTTTCCACCACTCAAAAATATCAAAATCAGGGGTTAAAGGGTTCACATTCTCTTCAGCTAGATACCTCTCAAGGTCATTTTTCTCCCTATTATCCCCTCGTTGCTTCAAGAATTAACTTAGCAACTCATTGACCGGTTGGACAGGTGGTTGATTTGGAGTATTTGCAGCCATTTCTTGTTTTTTTTTCATTATCTACCTCGTCACCATATAAGGACATCATTTTAGCCAGTGTTTCATCCACTTTGTTGCACAATTTAGAAGCTGTGGCAACATCATAAATCATGCTAAAACAGTACTAAAGATATGTCTTCTTATATCAAGGATCAAGTACAACAGCAATAAATAACATATAGTTAATATTTTCCCCATTGCCCCAATATTTTTCAAACTTCCTTCTCATCCCAAAAGCCATAGTTGACAACAAGCAATCACCACTTAAACATAACTCACTCAACCGTCTTTGAATGGTACAAATCTCATGAAAAAAAGTGTTGGAAGTGACATGTTCTGATGCACTAAATTTCAAAGTGACTTCATAAAAAGTCTTAAGAAATTCAACAAAAATCTTAGCATTTGCCCAATCTTCCTTCATTGGTGGTCCCACTTTTTTCTTCCCACCCTCTTCTTCCACCTAGTTGGGACATCTAAGACTATCCTCCTCTTCAAACCTATCAAAGGCCTTTTGGAACTTAAGAGCAACATCTAACATCATGTATGTTGAATTCCACCTAGTTGGGACATCTAAGATCAACATCCCCTTATATTCAACTTTCTCTTGCTCCACACAAACTTTGAACTTTTGTAACCTCGCAGGAGAAGATTTGACATACTTAACAGCATTT